ATTGAAAAATTTATAACATCCCTATGATTTTTTTGCCGTCAGATACGGGATAGCGCCAGGCGTGACACAAACAAACAAACACACCAAAAAATACCAAATTAAAGCTGTATGGACCCTGGCTAGCTTCTGCATAGCTACGGGAATAAAATAATAATTGATGATAGCTGACGATCGTATACGATTGATGCAAAGTCCTTGCAGTCCTTGAGGATTATTACGAAGTGGTTGATTACTTTTAGGGCATTCATCCAAGCAACATCAAACAAACGCGATACGCTCCTTGAAAATGGAAACAAATCCAAGCATAACGACAGAACAGCAGACCAATCGAAACGAGTAAAAGCTTCCTTACCTCAGTCATCGTCCTGCCATGTAGTTGGACAGCCTTTTGACACGGTGGTACAGGCAGCTCTGGTCCAGTCAAACAGGGGTATCCTTGTGGCGTCGAACGAAAGAGAGTGTCAGTGTATCTGACGCGTCAGATTGGAACTGTGCTGAACTTTTCTCGTTCTCCTCTTTCTGCTTTCATCCCTCGCTCTGATGAAACCGTTCAAACGTCTTACTGGCAGCAATGTCCAGCCAAACAGGGGATCTTTGTGGCATCGAACGAAAGAGAGTGTCAGTGTACCTGACTCGTCAGATTTGAACTGTGCTGAACTTTTCTCGTTCTGCAATTTCTGCTTTCATCCCGCGCACTGTTGAAACGTCTTCAGAGAACCACAAGACGCTTTCCAGATATGATTTGGAACGTCTTCTTATCCTCCTTGGTTACCTCGAGACAGATTACTGTCAGCAACTGCACAGCAGAACTGACAGCCATGGCTGAAGTGAAGAAAGGAATGCGCTGCCACAAGGCAAGCAAAACTGAAAAGGTGTTTGTTCTCTTTCGGGCACAACACACAGTACAGAACGGCGTGACTGGATAAACTGGACTCCTGGACCGTGAATAGGGGACTTGTAGAAAAGTGTACTCCTTAGGGGATTGCGCGGCAGGATGAAGCTGATCAAAACTGAGTGGACTCCTGGACTCTGTATAGTGGATTTTGGACCAATGGACTCTATATAGGGTGCTGGACATTATAGTGCATGGACTCTATACTGAGTCCTACATAGATGTTCGCGCTGTACTTGTTCGCACTGTACTTGTTCGCACTGTATATGTTCGCACTGTACTTGTGGGCGCTGTACTTGTTCGCGCTGTACTTGTTCGCACTGCACTTGTTCGCGCTGTACTTGTTCGCGATGTACTTGTTCACGCTGTACTTGTTTGCGCTGTACCTGTTTGCGCTGTACTTGTTCGCACTGTACTTGTTCGCACTGTACTTGTGCGCGCTGTACTTGTTTGCGCTGTACTTGTTTGCACTGTACTTGTTCGCGCTGTACTTGTTCGCACTGTACTTGTTCACACTGTACTTGTTTGCGCTGTACTTGTTCGCACTGTATATGTTCGCACTGCACTTGTTCGCACTGTACTTGTTAGCGCTGTACTTGTTCGCGCTGTACTTGTTTGCGCTGTACTTGTTCGCGCTGTACTTGTTGGCGCTGTACTTGTTTGCGCTGTACTTGTTTGCACTGTACTTGTTCGCGCTGTACTTGTTCGCACTGTACTTGTTCACACTGTACTTGTTTGCGCTGTACTTGTTCGCGCTGTACTTGTTCGCGCTTTACTTGTTTGCGCTGTACTTGTTAGCGCTGTACTTGTTCGCACTGTTCTTGTTCGCGCTGTATATGTTCGCGCTGTACTTGTTCGCACTGTACTTGTTCGCGCTGTACTTGTTCGCGCTGTACTTGTTTGCACTGTACTTGTTCGCGCTGTACTTGTTCGCGCTGTACTTGTTTGCGCTGTACTTGTTTGCGCTGTACTTGTTCGCGCTGTACTTGTTCGCACTGTACTTGTTCACACTGTACTTGTTTGTGCTGTACTTGTTCGCACTGTATATGTTCGCACTGCACTTGTTCGCACTGTACTTGTTAGCGCTGTACTTGTTCGCGCTGTACTTGTTCGCGCTGTACTTGTTTGCGCTGTACTTGTTCGCACTGTACTTGTTGGCGCTGTACTTGTTGGCGCTGTACTTGTTTGCGCTGTACTTGTTCGCACTGTATATGTTCGCACTGCACTTGTTCACACTGTACTTGTTCGCACTGTACTTGTTTGCGCTGTACTTGTTTGCGCTGTACTTGTTTGCGCTGTACTTGTTTGCGCTGTACTTGTTCACACTGTACTTGTTCGCACTGTACTTGTTTGCGCTGTACTTGTTCGCACTGTATATGTTCGCACTGCACTTGTTCGCACTGTATATGTTCGCGCTGTACTTGTTTGCGCTGTACTTGTTTGCGCTGTACTTGTTTGCGCTGTACTTGTTCGCACTAAGTCCACACGGCCACAGACTCGTAGTACATGGCACATGCAGTATTACTCATGATCTCCAGAAAACTTGACATTAAGGGGGCAGCCTGGTCGTAAAATCCCTGAAAAATCGAATTTGTGAATTCATATCGAGGACTACATCAGTTGAAAGAGCATGAACAGCTGCAAAATCTCTGAAACTTTTGTCTCGATCTCACCAGCCGCAAGAGTTATGGCCGAAAATGTGCCCTTGTAAGGAAAGATTTGCACGCTGTCATTTGTTGGCAGCACTGTATTTGAATGTGAGCAGACCGTGCGCAACTTGTCGTATCATGGAAACACGCGAAAGTGTGCACAATTTTGCTCCAAGTCCAAAAGATCACGTTTTTAAGCCACGTATTGAGCTGCACGGCTTCACCCGCCGCCGTGCAGCAGGAATTTTGCCAACACCCTCGTGACGTTGTAGATATGTGGCTTGATTATTGTAGTTGACGTTGATTTAGTGACTTTGGCAAGTTTGAGTCGTGTCAAGAAGTCAGATAGGATTCCGTACTAGGCAGTAGTGGAACGTGAGTGGAAGTCTTTGCCGATTTTTGAGGGTATCCTGAATTCGGTTTGCAGCGCTTTGGAAATGGCTTGCTGTGGAGGTTCCAGCACTGGATGTTGTATCAAAGGTACGACCTCGTAGCAGACCCTAAACCTAAAAAAATTCCAAAAATGACTTGGGTTTGTGGGAGTCTGTGAAACAACGCCCACTCCTGCCGTTGTGACAGATTCCAGGGCCACGTTGAAGGGCCCTATCCCACCACCCATGGCTGCTTCTGGACTTTTTTAGGTTTGGATCCCGCGCACGGACAGAATGGGCAAGAAAATGTGAAAAAATTGTAAATGCATTTTTTGGCTCCTGGGTGGCTCGCACACCGTGGCACTATGCCGGAATTTTGAGTTTTTCCGGCCCGGAAAGCCTGTCAGTGAGGCGTAAGAAGAACTTTTAAATCATGTCCAGAGGGCCAGCATAGTGGCAGGAGTGTGTGGTGAACATTTCACTCAAATCCATTGAGAGACACCAAAGTTACGGTCAATTCAATGCCATATGAAATTTACGACCAGGCTGCTACCGTAACAAAACATATATGCCATGGTGCAAACCAAGCGGAATTGCACAATCTTGTATATGTACTCTTGATAGTACCTTAAATGTTGAAGTTGAATTGGCAGACTGGCCTTCACTCAGCACAGGATAAGAAGATGTCCATGAAGACATCAGACTTCGAACAACACAGTGAGTCTGCAGCAGAGATGGAACATAAGACACAAGCCAAGTCCATTGTCATCAACTACAGTGTAAACACAGATACAATATACATGCTCAAGATGTTATGCTGCTGTTCTCGGATGTTATGCTTCTGCAAGTAAACAGAGCCCCACACTTCTCTTGAAGGAGTGAGGTTTGTTGTAAAACTGACTCAAAGCTGAATGCCCAGCAATACATAGCCCGAATCACCGGTTTTGTGATCACAAGGCTGGCCCACATTGTCAAGCTTATCAGAGCCCCACACTTCCCTTGAAGGAGTGAGGTTGAATGGAAGACTGGCTGATAGCTCAATACCAAGTAATACACGGCCCGAATCACCGGGTTTGTGCTCGCAAGGCTGCCCCACATTTTCAAGCATATCAGAGCCCCACACTTCCCTTGAAGGAGTGAGGTTGAATGCAAGACTGACTCATACCTCACTGCCAAGCGATACACGGCCCGAATCACCGGGTATGTGTTATCACAAGGCTGCCGACAACGTCAAGCACATCAGAGCACCACACTTTCCTTGAAGTACTGAGTTCAAATGCAAGTCTAACTCGTCGCTCTTTGCTAGTAACAGACGCCACGAATCACGGGGTATGTAGTCCCAAGTCTTCACCCCGTTATCAAGGATATCAGAGCCCCTCCACTTTCATTGAAGTGCACTACTGAGGTGCGAGGATTGCTCGGGATAGTACTCATAATCCTTCACTTCAAAATGTCAGAGGATTTACACCTCATTCTCAACATGAGCGACAAAGGCCATTGTCGTTAAAACCTCATCATCCATCATGAAGTAACATACAACCATGGAATGGATGCTGTTAGTTCCGTCTCTCTGCTCATTCCTTGCCATGTCCAAAGAAATTTTGAATCACTGCGTTCGGTGTCACAACATTGCCCCACATTGCAAAGCATACGAGAACCTCAAGATAGACATTATAGGAATGAGGCTGAATGCGAGTGGAGACTCATTCCATTGTCAGATAACGGACACACCGAATCAGCGGGTATGTGTAATCACAAGGCTGCCCATAATTGTCAAGCTTGTCAGAGCCGCACACTTCCCTTGAAGGAGTGAGGTTGAATGCAAAACTCACAGCTCACTGCCAAGCAATACGTAGCCCGAATCACCGGGTATCTGATCACAAGGCTGCCCCACATTGTCAAGCATATCAGAGCACCACACTTCCCTTGAAGGAGTGAGGTTGAACGCAAGAGTGACTCATAGCTCAATGCCAATTAATACACGGCCCGAATCACCGGGTATGTGTAATCGCAAGGCTGAACCACATTGTGAAGCATATCAGAGCCCCACACTTTCCTTGAAGGAGTGAGGTTGAATGCAAGAGTGAATCATAGCTCAA